AAGATGTTCCTTTTTGATAAAGCTTATAGTTAGGGCTGGATCAGGTGACCCTGAGCCTTCCCTTAGTTATGCTGCTATAGGCCTAGGCTGCTGGGGGGCCCCATGATGCTCTGAGTTTCTCTCCTCCCCTCTCCTCTCCTTTCCTCTCCTCTCTCCCTATGCATCTATATGCCACCATTATACATCACTAACTTTGTGTCTTCTCTCTCCCGTAGTGTGTCCTCTCTCTCTCCCTGTACCTTTCTGCTGGTAGCCCTGGCTCTGGAGCTCTATGTTCCTGACGAGCAGTCACCAGCCACATCAACCTGACCAGTGTTTGATTGTTTGTTGTGTCCTGTTGCTTTTCTTCTTTTGTCTCTCCTCTATCCACTCACCCCAACCGGTTGAGGCAGAAGGCCGCCCACCAAGAGCCGGGGTCTGTCAGAGGTTTCTTCCATTAAAGGAAGTTTTTCCTCCCCACTGTCGCCAAGTGCTTGCTCAAGGGGGATTTGTTTGCGTTTTCCCTCTGTAATAATAGTGATAACAGTAAGGTCTAGACCTTACTTTGTAAAGTGTCCTGAGATGACTTTTGTTGTGATTTGGCGCTATACAAATAAAATTTGATTTGATTTAGAAATGAGGAAAGTGTAGTAACACAAAACAGGTAAACACCCTACAGGTCTTTGTCCACACTGTAGTCAGACAGAGACTGTAGAGCGTCCTGTTCATATGCAGTGGTTATAATGAGCAACATGCTCGAATGATAGCTACACTGGAAAAAAGAAGAATACTAATATATCACTAGAGTCTTTTGGGCAGCAATTGTAAAACAGCATATAGAGTTGTTATTATTTATTTGGCAGATATAGGTATTTTGGATAGGATTTAGTAGTTTATGCAGTTCTAAGAACTTTTTATATATTCCTACGGCTCTGTTATCATTCCACACTGCAGCCCAGGTGGTGGTAATGCACCTTAGGTTAGCTTGCAAACCGCCAATAAACACCATAAGAAGAAGAAGAAGTTGCAGCTACAACCTTTCTACAAGACCAGCACACACAGTACAGTGTTGTTTTATTTAGTGTTGCACTGCAGAATGAAATTGTTTACCTGCCTATAACTATAATCTTGAACTGCTGATAATTAGTTAGTCAAGTCAATTTAGGACACATGAAAATCTTTTGTCATGCCCTTTTCTACAGAACAATAATCTAGGGTTTATTTTGTACCTATTTGGAGGACACTTTATATTGTGGTTAGGGATTTTTGAGAACAATAGCATAAAAGCAAGGTTCCTAAAAACAAACGATCTTCCCCCCAGAGACTGTTGAATGACCAGCTTTTTTTTTCTGAGAGGCGGTCTATAGGCTACTTGATCATCATGACATCCCTTGCTGCAAGGTTGGCCAGAAGTTCCATTATTCCATTTTATTTGTTTAATCCCCCAAAACAGTGTCTTAGCTTTCTTTGTCTTAAATTAATAATGTAGACAATAAAGCTTAATGTAAGCACAAAAAGTTTTTGTGGATTTCCATTACTACCAATGGTTTTAATTACTTCGTTTTATTTATGTAGGCTAGTTTAAACATGCAAGGTCTTCCTGGCTGCACTGGTAGCCAGGAATTTGTTTTTGTTTTATTTATTGATTTATTTTGTTCTTCCAAATCACAAGACATTTTTAAGTGAGTTAAGCCATAATAATAACTTTGGACTGACGAAAAGGAAAAAGAACACATTTAGGCCTGTACCTTTACAGCAGATGACAGTGGAAGACATTTCCTTTTATGTGCATTATATAACAAAGTTAATCTGTATGTACATGTGTATATTATAGAAGATACAGCATATTTTGGCCATTAAAATGTTATAAATAATGCTAGTGACATGAACCAAGGCAGAATATATAAGTGTAAGGATGCAATAAAGATGATTTTATCCAAAATCAAGAATGTTTTGGAGTACAGTATAACCTTTTTTTATATAAAAGCATGTTTTAGGTTGTCAAAAAGCAGTTTGCTAAGTCTACTTGGCTCAGAGTTCCTTTTAACTTATGATTATGAAGACACTGATTTTTTTGGAATCATCTACACAACAGTTTCCTGTGCATGTGTATGTCATGGTCTGTAATTTGAAGGGTGTTTAAAATCTTTTTATTTTATTTTATTTGTTCAAAGAACTCACTGTCATGTTTTATACTGCAGTGTACAGTGGGACTAATAATGTAAACCAATGCAGGGTTAGTAATCACGCCTGATTCTTAACAGCGTTCTGGCTTTAGCAAGCAAAACCGGTCAGTAGAAAATGAGCTGTGTGACATTCCAGCTCATGTCCACCAGGTGGCCGTGTAAGCTCACTCGTGTTAGACTGTAACGTCCAAATCTCTGCGGACCCTGTCACTGCTGAAAGAGAAATGCAGCACCTCTGAAGTGATCGACTGCAGAATCTTATGTACAATGTCCAGTGCAAAGAAAACAGCGATATAGTGAATGTTAAGAAAAAAACTGTAAAGGTTAACTCCAGATGGAGCATGTATGACCGATTTCTTTTGTGACAACATTGCCTGCAATTTAAATACTATTAATAGAAAAAATTATCTACTGTTGAAGGGTAACAAATGTATTTACTACATGAGACAAAAAGCTGTTCCAACTGGGAGCACCAGCTTTGTTTAAAAGATGCATAATTGTTTGAAGTCTGGGTCCATTTGTGCCTCCGATCTCAGCTCATCATATCGCCATGTGAACTTGATTAGTGTTCCCATAACAGGACTGTTCGGTTAACCATCTCCAGGAAGTAACTCACCTTGAAATGAAAAAATAAGGGAGGGGGCAGAGGTAGTGGTGCTGCTCTGAGGGGCTACAAAACTAAAAGGCCAGGGGCCAATGGAGCCAACATTATGGTGTTGGTGTGATTGGTTGTCACCAAACCAGTCAGCCAAATTCCTGGCTGTTTCACAGCTTATCACAGGACGACCCACGTGACATGTCCAAGAACTGCCATGTGTAGTAATGTGACACCTAATTCCATAAGAAATGTATAAATACAGGGGCTTTATAGTCAGGAGTGGGTTGTCGTAATTTTAAATGGCTGTCTTTTGCGTGTTTAGTTGAGCTACTAGACTACTTCTAGTGGCTGTTAATAGTACTCCTCTATGAACTCTTAATGTGACAGGCATGTTCCAGTTACTCTCATTAAAGTATGCTAATTTGGGATAACAAATCTAATGCATGATGCAAAAAACTATCAAGACACATAAGCGGGCAGGTAACCAACATTTATTTACCATTATCAACTTTACAATAAAACCAGTAACATCTGTCAACATTAGCAAAATAAAGAACAGAAATCAGTCCAATGTATTTACAGAGATAAAGCAGGTTCAGGCTCACACACGACAGATAAACAACTCTGCTTCATATCAAACCGCAACAGTGAACATAGCAAGCTTAAGTGTTTTTTTTATAGTAAGGTAAAAATAAAAAAAAAATTCTTTAAACAAACAAGACATAGGTTCTCTGAATCTTTAAGACGGTTCTCTATAATACACCACAAAATACTTCAAATTTGGGTTAAAATATAAGAATGTAAAAAGTTGGCAAGTCTTTTAATTTTCTGCTTTCTTTTTTTTAAATTTAACAGTCATTTCAAGTGGTGGTGGTGTCCTAGTAGCTCATCTAGCTTCATTTCTTCAGCAAGGAGGCATCTTCATCTTTAGGGAAATGATGCTTCCACTTCATACTTCTCCATCCATCTTTCAGCTGTCTGTACCTCATGGTGTATTTAGCTCACATTCTAGCCATTAAAATCCATTTCCACATGGCAACCAACCCGCAGCCTAAAACTCAGTCAAGGTCCAGATGTCAAGCAGTAACCAGGGAAGTGATCTAGTGAATCTAGTCTGTCGTCTCGTTATCATGACGAAAAGTGGCACGTTGAAGGAGTCTCTCACATACATGTGTATATATTTACATATACATATGTATACATATACACACATATATATATATATATTCTTAAATTTTCTCTCTTTCTTTTGAAAAACAGTTCACCCAGTTCGTTGTGAGCTAAAGGTACAATCACTCCTTCTTTTCAGAAGGAGCGGGGGTCGAGCTGCTCTCCTCTGTTGGTTTTGTGGCCTCAGGGGCTGGAGCAGCTGCCTCCTTGGCCTCCTCCTTTGGGGCCTCCTCTTTAGCTGGGGCCTCATCTGCCTTTGGGGCCTCAGCCACAGCAGCAGCCTCTTCTTTCACCTCCTCCTTCTTCTCCTCTGCAGGGGCAGCAGCTCCGTTCTCAGCAGGCTTCTCCTCAGAGGGGGCGGCAGCAGCTGCTTCCTCTTTGACAGCCTCACTCTTCTTGTTCTTCTTCAGGTTCAATTTGAAGTTAAAGGGCTTCTTGAGAGTGAACTTCTTCTTCTTCTTCTTGGGGGTCTCCTTTACTCCAGCCTCACCTTCAGGTTTGGCTGCTTCTCCATCTGCAGCAGGAGCTGGCTCAATGGTATCACCTCCTGCGCCAGCTTCAGGCTCTTTGGCTGCTTCAGCTGAGCCATTGGTGGCAGCAGCATCCCCATCAGGCTTTGTAGAGACATCGCCATTGGTTTTCACGTGCCCATTCTCCTGGAAAACGGTAAATAAATAAATAAATGCTCTGATACTAAAGCCTAACCACTTGACAGAGAATAGAATATTTGTTAAAATATTCATCATGTACATGTATTTTATACAAAGAGGACCGATTTTGGGTTTACATTTCTTATTTCTTTTCAACACATCGTCGTGCTCATCAATTAACCAACGTGTGGCTCAGAGGCGACGCCTTGCAGTACACTAATCGGGCAATAGGCGGCGGTAGCTGCACACAGACCGCCCGAGGTACCAGACAGACATGGGCTCAACAAAGACGAGACTGGAGCTCATGGACTAAATGATGAAAACACTTTGTTTGATATTATTTCTAACAAAAAACAAAAGATTTTAAAAAATAGTTAATATAATTCATTTGAAAGCAGATCAAAGTTGTTGACACTTGGCCCGTGGGCATTATTTTCATTCACAATTAACCAATACTGGTCTAAAATGTCAAATTGATGAATAAATGTGACTCATCTGACTCCAAAATCCCACGTATCAAAATGCTGGAAATTCCCCCTTTGTAAAACAGGGGACCAGACGACATCTAGGCTTGTCTTTAACAAGGAGGAGTAGTAGACTGCCTACGTGCGACAAGCTGCCCCCCTCCCCCTGTATAACCGCCACTATCACACACACACACACACACACACGTTGTGCGCATTTAAACCTCGGTGTCAAATAAACACATAGCCCACTCTCTTTACATTTGGATTCAACTTGTAAGCCGAACTTAACATTAACACGCTAGTAATGTTTAAAATCGTTTTAGGGTGTTCTGTGAGCAGCCCATCAGTGGGAGACAGCGATGTGAAAGCTCCACCTGACTTGCCCACAATGTTCTCATAGTCAAATCTAATCTTGTCAACGTCGACTTAATTAGGTAAACTGTTGATTTCGTGTGAGGAATTCAACTTTTATCGGCCTCTACGTAACACCTATATTATAAAACAATAACACGAGGTATAATTGAGTGCATTCCCTGCCCGTTGGTTTTGACAGCGGCAGCATCAACGGCAGCAGCGTTTGCCTCCGCGGCCACCTCTCCCTTGGATGCCTGGGATCCCATTGTCTTCGGTGACTTGCTGTGTCTTCTAAACCAAATTAAAAAGAAAAACTAAAAAATAGTGGTTTAAGTTAATCCAACCCCAGGGTAAGTTACGTTTCCTGCGGTGAAATGATGAAAAGTGTGCGTTTTTCGTCAAACGGCAGATACGTCCCCTCAGTGATCCTGTAGTAGAACTAATCAGCCTGGCAGAGAGAAACCCTCTAAACCCAGCACTGGTTGAGCACAACGCTTCAACATACAGCAGGTTCAACTCGTGGGCGGGAACTCCTCAGATTTGACCAATCAACGGCCGGGCTGAGGGCACGTCTATCCAACTCTGGCCAATCACGTCTAAGTCCCTAAGTGTCCGCCCCTCAAAATACCCCCCAGCAGTGAAATCAGTTCAACTTAAATGTGTTTTATAGGTATAAAAAAAGAAATGCCACCAATATAGAAGTTAAACGTTTTTTATTTTTATAAAATCATTTTATATGTTTGTATCATAATAATTTTCTTTATAGCCTGTGTGTGTTCATTTATCACTAATCTTATGATGATGGTTGAGTGTGTTCACTCAAAGATAAGATGAACAGTGTTTACCAAACTCAATACTCCCACAGCTCTCATGGATGTGCCATGAATGTGCTTACATCTTATTAGTAATAAGGGAAGAATGAAAACTAGTTCACTTTTACAGTATGGCATGTGTGTTCATGTAAGTGTTTGTTTAAGTGGCTCCATAACTGAGGACCTGGCTTGTCCCACTAGGGTATTAGTAGTCCTCATGGAAGTTGGTGTAGCCTACACATACCTGTTATATGAATGAATGTGTTTTAAAGGAAGTGCTTTTCAAGTGACAGAGTAATTGTTTTGTTTATAAAATGCAAGATATGTGAAAATTCCTGTTAAGACATTTTAGAGCTCATGGTGTGTTCAAACTGTTTATATTCAGTTTATTGTGATATAAGACTTTTTAGGCTCACATTTGACAGATTATAAATCAGATATGGAAACATTACAGATTACTTTTCAGTTTTTCAACTAATTGGTTAAGCAACTGATTGTTTCACTTCTAATTTCTACTGAGTGACTTAATTCATGGCATGAAATATTGCACTCCACTGCAGCTGTTATATTGTTGTGCATTACTTAAGCAAGAAGGGAAGTTCTATGTGTGTCTCTTTTGGTTTCCATATTGCATCTGAAATTATAGTCTGGTTCAGCACTTAGTCAGAGCTTCAGTAGTCTACAATATAACACAACAGCTCTGTCCAGGTACAGCTGAAAAGTAAAATAGACCCACTTTTAATAACATATAAGAAAGCCCTTCATAGTGCCAGAACCGCATTTTATTCATCACAGATTGAGGAAAATAAGAACAACCCCAGGTTTCTTTTCAGCACTGTAGCCAGGCTGACAAAGAGCCACAGTGCTGTTGAGCTTAACATTCCCTTAGATCTCAGCAGCAATGACTTCATGAGCTTCTTTACAAATAAAATCACAACTATTAGAGAAA